CTCTGCTCCACCAACAGTAACCAGCATCCCTCTCTGCTCCACCACCAGCATCCATCTCTGCTCCACCACCAGCATCCCTCTCTGCTCCACCAACAGCAAAAAGCATCCCTCTCTGCTCCACCAACAGTAACCAGCATCCCTCTCTGCTCCACCAACAGCATCCCTCTCTGCTCCACCAACAGTAAACAGCATCCCTCTCTGCTCCACCAACAGCAAACAGCATCCCTCTCTGCTCCACCAACAGCAAACAGCATCCCTCTCTGCTCCACCACCAGCATCCCTCTCTGCTCCACCACCAGCATCCCTCTCTGCTCCACCAACAGCAAAAAGCATCCCTCTCTGCTCCACCAACAGCAAAAAGCATCCCTCTCTGCTCCACCACCAGCATCCCTCTCTGCTCCACCAACAGTATCCCTCTCTGCTCCACCACCAGCATCCCTCTCTGCTCCACCACCAGCATCCCTCTCTGCTCCACCAACAGTAAACAGCATCCCTCTCTGCTCCACCACCAGCATCCCTCTCTGCTCCACCACCAGCATCCCTCTCTGCTCCACCAACAGTATCCCTCTCTGCTCCACCAACAGCAAAAAGCATCCCTCTCTGCTCCACCAACAGCAAAAAGCATCCCTCTCTGCTCCACCAACAGTAACCAGCATCCCTCTCTGCTCCACCAACAGCAAAAAGCATCCCTCTCTGCTCCACCAACAGTAAACAGCATCCCTCTCTGCTCCACCAACATTAAAAAGGCTCCCTCTGTGCTCCACCGCCAGCATCCATCTCTGCTCCACCAACAGTAAACAGCATCCCTCTCTGCTCCACCAAGCAGGAATGTTTTTGTGACCTTCTCCTGCCTCTTCTATACAGAAAATCCAACAACTAGCATACATAGGTAGAGATTGGTGGAACGTGCAAATAGACAAATATGTGCAATTTATTGCTAAATCTACCACTAGGAGAATGTAAGCCTTTTTCAGCTCAAATAGCTTCAATTTAGTCCGGTCCATGATTCCAGGGCTGTCCAGGACTATATCCCTGATCATTCTATAGACCCGAAGTATGGCAGCCCACTGGTTCACCCTGACTTTGGCGATAGTCTGACCAGCGGAGTAAATGCGGCAGATAGCCTCTACCAGACGACTCACATTGGGCCACTGAGCTGGCCCACTGCCTTCACCAAGGAAACATCTGGAAGTGAGAAAGGGAGACAGCAATATTAATCTGATTTGTTGAAGAATATGGGACAGCATCTAAATAACACTGTAATTTTGTGTGATACAATTAATAGTGTATGTAGTTAATCAACTAATATTTTAGTTCTCTCCAAGAAATGGATGGCTCCTATTATTTTTTTCTTGACTATTTTTATCCAAGTAATTGAAAATGCAAAGAAAAGACATAATCTGCAAGCAAACCATTCCATGAAATACTGTCTTGAAACATACCAATGCTCCAAGGACACAAAGCGACGTGAAGGGCTCCATGACGCTGAGGTAGTGTATGGACCGCTGCATCCAGGCCCATGTGTGTGCCTCACAGAGTGTCTTGTACAGCTGCGTGGCGCTGTACAAGAGGAGGTGCTACATGCAGTTTTGCAGTCAACTCCACTGATTTGTGCGTCCATGAGTACGGGCACGTGTGTGTGTGTTTGTACCTCAGGCGAAGCAGGAGTGGGCGTTGTGGCTGCTCCACTTTCCTCTTCGCTGGCGCCAGGGTGGCCTCCCCAAATGGCGTCTCCTCCACGGAGACACCATGGGGCTCCTCCCTGGTCAACGCCGGAGTCCAAGCCAGAACCGCGAGCCTAGGTGGAGCGGCAGCAACTTGAGGTGGTGGAGGAGGGATGGAGGACAGTGCCGGAGGATGTGTAAATGGAGGCCTCACCACCAGCGGGGGTGGGAGTGTCTGAAAGGACCTGTACATGAGTTTCAGACACATTCACACGCAAGAAAATGGCATCAGCACAATGATAGTCATGAGGCAACCCACAGGCAGGCAAGACTAAGTGAGTCACTGGACATCTGTTGTGTTAAAGAGAAAGAAAGATCGACTTGGAACTCACCTGGAGCCATTGGACACCTTCCCAGTAGGGCCGAGAACATGGGAGCGATCGGCTTGCTGGCCATGTTAATTGTCTTACCCATTTATTTTATTTGTGAACTTTTGATTTATTTACTAATGTTTCCCTAAATACATCTCAGAGTCAAACACATTTTTATTTAATTTTTTTATTGAATAGTTCACACTAGAACTATAAATGTAAAATGCAAATATTAAAACTGAACAAATTAACAGTAGAAAGAGTGTAAAAAGTTAACAGAGGTAATAAAAGATTTATTAAATAGATAAAGGATAAAAAATAGATGGATGCAAAGAAAATACCAAATACAAAAGTTAAAATAAATCTTCAACAGAACAAATAGTTAACAAAAACAAAGCAAAGAAAAAGCAAAAGCAAAGCAAAGACGTGTTACTCATTAGGAGCAAGTGCCCATTGCTCTGCCAGCCAAACCAAATAGAAATGTTAAAATAAATTTTCAACAGAACAAATTAACAAAAAGCAAAGATGATGAATTAAAGAAATGTTACTCAATAGGAGCAAGTGCCCTTTTCTCTGCCAGCCAAAGTTCCACACTTTTGCCCTCGTAGGAGCTACAAAAGGCTTTTCCAGCATACCGCGAGTGTCCAAACTCCTTTGTCTTGGGTTTCTGGCACAGACTGCAAGTTATTGGCGTGTACTTTTTTGGCCTTTTCTGGGCCAGGCCTAGGGAAATGGCCTCTTCTTTCTTCTTTCTCCTCCAGGCCGTTGTCCTGGGCACATCACTGACATTGTCTGCTGCCGCAATCCTTTTCTGCTCAGACAGCCATTGAGAGGCTGTCTTGCCAGCAGAAGTGGCACAGAAGCTTTTGTCACGGAAGAAGCTGTGCCCAAACTCCAAACGCTTGGAGACTGCACACAGACTGCAGGGAAACCCTCTTGGATCCCTTCTCCTGGCCGTGGCTTTGCCCTGCTTTAAGGCCTTAAGATCTTCTTTAGCCCTCTTCTCCAGACTGTGGTCCTCGGCACTCGTTTAAGGGCCGCATCAGCCACAGCTGATGGAGGAGGGAGCACAGCCAGCGAAGCGCATGGAGAAACTGTAAAGAGCGAGAGAAAAAAAAGGGATTTTAGACGTTTGTTGCATTTGATATTATTGCATGCAGGGAAGGTGGCGTCTTTGGGTGTCCCAGATGACGTCCATCCTCTCCTTGTCCACCAAGGGGATGCTCATGGTTTCCCTGGCGTCCATGAAGGCCTCCAGCAACGCGGCAGTGAGCTGCTCTGTCTCCTCCACGCAACGTGTGCAGCGGCGACAGTGCAGCGCCAACTGTCTGGAGGTGAGCATGCTGGTTAGCTGGTCATCAGTGAGGCCTCTGATGCCCTGCTGTTGCTCCAGGTCCTGCATTCTGGCCTCCCTCAGCAGAGCCACATCTCCCTCGTCCCAGACAAAAATGCATGCGGACAGCTTTGCCATGAACAGACCGTAGAGTGGATGGCTGTCAGTATGTAGAGTGGATGGCTGTCAGTATGTAGACCTGCGGCGAAGTGCCACACATCAAGACGGACTACCATGTCACTCCAGTCGCTGAACATGGCACCTGCTCTGGGGGCCCCTACAAAAGAGCAGCAGTCTCTGTCCACATACAGGAGTGTAGGGGGAGTGACTCCAGCCGCCTCGTACCTATTCACCAGGCCAGTGGTCCTAGGCAGCAGTCCCTGACCCTCATGTGAGGTGAGCACAGACATGATGACCTGTCCGTGCTCATTGCCCACATTGGTGACCCAGGCTGCGGTCCCAGCTGCAGCTCCCGCCAGTTTTTTGGCCACCTATTGTTGAAAAACAGAAAATTCAGCACAGATAAACAAACAAAAAAAAATCTATATACACCTGTACACACACATTTATATTTGATTAATATGTCACCTTTTTTGTGGAGTCCATCTTCAGGATGGACCCAAAGACAGAGGTGACCCTGGCTTTGAGCTCACCATACTGGGACCGGAAATCCTCTGCGTGGACAGAGAGGAGCCACTTGGCGGTCGGTACAGGCAGCATGGGTGGTAGAGGTGAGATGGGCTGTGTGGTGGTACCCTGGAACCGGTCACACACAGAGAGGTATCGCAGGGACCTCTCCATTCATTCCTCACTATGCAGTTCACACAGCTTGTGATACAGCATAGAGACGCTGTTGCCGAGAGAGCGCTCCCTCATTAACTTTGCCAAATGCAGATCACAAGAGAACCTGTAAAACACACAGACAAAGGCAAACTTTATTAAAGTTCCTTTAAAGTGTTCTTTCTTTATAAATAAATAATGTGCAATGTTTCCCATACAAAAAGATGAAGGGCTCAATGCGGGGCCGTTAACACATCTTGAATAGAACCTCAGCTGTCAGGATGGGTGTCTCAAGGTGTTTGAATGCTATTGTTCTGAGTTTGACACCTTTGAAAGGTCAAGCAAAGATCAGTTGGGGTGGGTCGTTCACACATTTTGTGTAGAACCTCGACTGGCAGACAGTGTCTTTTGAAAAACTACAAAAGCAAGATAGTGCTTGTTCTGTGTACAAATGACGTGTAATTAATTTTAAAAGTACTAACGAAACTTATTTTTAAGTCGTTACATTATTACCATTACAGCCCAGTTAAAGGTGTAACATGTTAGTAGTTAATTGCCCCTGAAATAAATTTTTTCATGACTCACCGGTAAGGATGGCTGGGAACATCCTGCGGTGAGCCGGGTCCAGCTGGTCCAGGATGTCGTGCGACCACGCGGCCAGCTTCTTGTGGCAGCGCTGACACTGCAGGTATTCTGTTGCCAGAAAATACCATCCATGTAAATTCAGCACCCGCCTCACTGTCTTGTAGAGCCCACATGATGTCAGTCGCTGACCAGACCGTCTGCAGTCTGGCGAGCTGCAGATCAGCTTGTAGGACCACATCCTGTAGGGCATCCACAAACACAGCAGCCAGCTGAAAAACGCGTCCGGTGACGCTGAAGGCAGATTATACTCCAGGCGTGGCTGGGGAGGGCACCACCAACTTCTGGTGTGAAAAACCATACCCCAGAAGCCGCTGACACCAGCCTTTGAGCGGCTCTTTGCTCTAAGCGAGGTGAGCGGATCGGCGCTGGAGGTGGTGGAAGTACTGTGAAGAACACATCATTTTAATTTTGTAATCAGTACTAATGGTTTAATAATTTGAAGACATTTGTGGTTACATAACAATGCTATAGGATGTTAGTAAATGTATTTGTGATCACATATGATCAGGTCACCATGTGCTGTGGCTGGCTGGGAATGGGAGCTTTGGGTGGGAGGAGGAGAAGCCAAACGTGAATGATGAGGGACGGCAGGCTAGGATGCAGATGACTTCTTTTTCCTCTGCTGGTCTCTCAGCAAGATGTATTTCTTCAAGGCATCCATCTTGCTGCCTGTATTGGTGCCCTTGTTCCGGATGAACTCCACATAGCTACATAAGACGCACAATAGTGTACATGATAAGAGCAAAATAAATACAAAACAGCAATACAACTAACAAGCAGAAGCATATATTACCTTTTCCTCTCCCTGTCCTTGGCCTCATAGAGCTCCTTGTAGGTGCTCTTCTTGTGGACCCCAAAGCCCTCCGGACAGTCACCCTCACAGCCAGGTAACGTCCCCTTTATCTGCCTGCGCACTTTGATGGCTTCTGCGACCCTCTCAAATGTGCAGGCATATTGGAGAAAGGCATCCTTATTGGCCATGAGGGCACCTCTGTCTAGCCTGCCAGCCTCGCGCTCCCGCTGATGCCCAGACAGGACCATGAGGGAGTAGCCAAGGTCATTCTCTAGCATCCATTTGAAGGGTTTCCCTCTGTATTGACCAAACTGGATGGGACTTTGACTAGCCACCAGCAGGTCATCAAAGGGATTCCCTCCACCTTGGATGACCCTGACCTTGGCCTCCCCCAGCACAGCCTCAGGGTACTTCGGGACAAAGGGCACCCCTTTAGCCACTTGAGAAAGATGAACTTTCTCCACAGTGGCTGCCTGCTTGGAAGGCATCAGCACCAGCTCTCCAGCCTCCACACGCAGGTTGGGTGTGTTTTCCATTCTGCAACAGTAAAGCCAATACAAACAATTGACTGAACCCCATGCACAAAATAAATATTCATGGAAAAATGTACATTAATTAAATCAATCGGTGGCATTAGTGCACCTTTTTTTTTGGTATTTATGGAAAGGTCCACCGCAGGAAAATAGGGGAAGGTCATCCAACTTTTTTTAGTCTATAGGGGAGGGTCACCCAACTTTTATATTCCTCAAAACAGGTACATTTCAAAGTGGCTTGTTTGGTGCATATTTTTTCCATGTAGCTCTCTCGGTCTCGGCCCCCGGGCCATCGTTGTCAGATGGGTCTGACCCAACAAAAATCCGAGTGCGCATGCGCTTCAGTACGCACTCAGAAAAAGTGCATTAGAACAGAACGACAATGAAATGTTTACCCGGCAAAGCTTTAAAGCACGAGCAAATAATGAACTTTTGTTATTGTGAATAAGTGCATTGTCTTGTGTGTGTAACTCTACCGCTGCATTAACATGTGATGTGAATGTACGTCGAGTGTATTGGGACTGAGGCGCCCGAATTGCAGCTGATATAATGTGCACTGTAGCACGATACGACCATATTTTAGTTTCCATTCTTATTGCGTTTCCAGAACAGTGTTAGTGAGTAAATCTGAGCTGTAGTCTTGTGCGCTGTGCGGTTGAATGAGCCGGTTTGTCGATCTATCTGAATTTTGTCCACAGAAGAAAGACGAAAATGGCCGTGAATTTGGACTATTGAAAGGGAAGCATACTACCTTATTATGATTTTAGTATCATAATGATTAATAAATGCATGCACAATTGTCAGTGAACTTGATAAATGTTGCAGATATGTTTTACTATGCACAAAATGCCTTTCAACTTGAGCGCAAAATTGCATGTTACATAAACGCGTCACCACTGCATCAGCACCAAAAAAAACATGATTTAAAAAAAAAAAAAAATTCAAATCAAATTTAACTCGTGATACGAACCGAATTGTAGGTTTGGTCTATCGTTACAGCCCTAGTAAGATGAGAAAGCAGGAGTTTAGTCCTTTATCATGGCTATCTGAACATCTTTGCCAAGTGCAAACCAGTACAGAAGTAATCAATAAATTATCGGGGAGGGTCATGCCTTTTTTCACAATCATTTTGGAGGGTCATAGAAAAAAATACAGACTACAGATCTCAAATCTCCTCCCGTGGCCCCTTAAATAACTAACGAACAGTCCCTTAGTGATATATTTTTATTATTATAAACGAATTTTGTTTTCTTTTTTCATAGTTGTTAATTATTCTGATCTTAAAACTGACAAATTGAGTAAAGAACAAAAACGAAAAAAACGAATGCTCAAAGTTGTTAATTATTCTGATCATAAAAATGTCAAAGTGAGTAAAGAAACGAACGCTCATCAGAAGAATTCTGCATGCATTAGCGTTATATATATATATATATATATATTTTTTTTTTTTTAAAGAAGTGGATTTACTGGGTGTCGAATGAAACTCTTTTTACCGATTTAAGTTGTTAGCCTCCCACCTCTTATGCACCTCCCACCGCCAACATCCCTCTCTGCTCCACCAACAGCATCCCTCTCTGGTCTACGGGCAGGAACGTCTTTGAGACCTCCTTTTCCTGCCTCTTCCTGCCTCTTCTTTCTGGGATTATGCCTACATTCAGAAAATATGACAATTAGCATATGTAGGTAGAGATGGGTGGAATGGGCACTGAACAATTTATTCCTGAATCTACCACTAGGAGAGTGTGAGCTGGTTCAGCTGGTCAACGCTGGAGTCCGAGCCGGAACTGCGAGCCTAGGTGGAGCAACCGCAACTTGAGTTGGTGGAGGGGGAGGAATGGAGAACAGTGCCGGAGGAGGTGGAAGTGATCATTCTATAGGCCCTGAGTATGGCAGCCCACCGGTTCACCCTGACTCTGGCAATAGTCTGACCAGCAGGGTAAATGCGGTAGAGAGCCAGGCAGATGTCCTCGACCAGACGACTTGCATTGGGCCAGTGAGCTGTCCAACTGCCTTCGCCAAGGTAGCATCTGTGAAGTGAGAAAGCAATATTTATCTGATTATTTGAAGAATATGGGACCAACAACTGAATAACATTTACAATTTACTTTCAGTCATTTAGCAGACGCTTTAATTCAAAGCGACTTACATCTGAGAACTAAATCAAACAAGAACACAAGAAGTGCTCAAAATACAAAGTTTAAACATTGCTCTGAGGAGTATAAACCAGACAAGTAAGGATTTAATTTATTTATTTTTTTATATCAAGTGCTCACGGAAGAGATGAGTTTTCAGTTGTCTTTTGAATGCTGTCAGGGATTCTGCATTCCGGATGATGATGGGAAGATCATGTTGTGTTATTCACAAATAATGTTGTGAGTAACACTAATGTTGTGAGATACAACTAATAGTTTATATAGTTAATCAACTAATAATATAGTTCTCTCCAAGAAATGGCCAGCTCCTATTAAATTTTTTTTCTTGACTTTATTTTTATCCAAGTAACTAAGTGTAAAGAAAAGACATAATCTGCAAGAAAACCATTCCATGAAATACTGTCTTGAAACATACCAATGCTCCAAGGAAACCTTGTGACGTGAAGGGCTCCCTAACGCAGAGGTAGTGTATGGACCGCCACATCCAGGCCTCTGTGTGTGCCTCGCAGAGTTTCTTGTAGTACGCTCACACACCTGGATGATTACCCGCCGGTTGCAGGCAAGCCTACAGAGAGGAGCGCATCATGTGTTTCTGAAGAGCCACACACAGACACATCGAGGGGGTGCGTGACTGTTCAGACAGCTACTTACTTGTAGGTGAGGATTGGGCGCGATGCCCCTCTCCCAGCTGACACACGACAGCACTCCAGGTACTCGGTGGACATCAAGTACCAGCCGTCGATGTCCAGGAGCCTCCGGATTGTCCTGTAGAGCTCACACTTTGTGAAGGTCCTATTACAGCATGTCAGCCGGATGGTGTCCAGAGCAACAGCCGACACATGAAGAGTTGTCTGGTGAGTTGTCTTCTTTGAAAGAAAGAGGTCTACCTGGCAGTTCCACATAGACCTCTTTCTATCTCTTTAACACAACAGAGGTTCAGTGTACAGGATTAACTAACCATTGCCTCACCCATCTGGTGAAGCTGAAATGAGAAAAAAAACAATTATCAACTGAAGCCCATAGACCACACATTCTTACGGCCAGCATCTTATTTTAGATTAACATCTTCTTACCCCTTTCTGTCTTTATCTTTTCTTTCATATAGTATGTCTTTAAATGTCAAGTTGGCATATTTGCCCAAGCCAATAAGCAGCTTGTCCTCCTGTGCCGGTGTTCCAGCATGCTCTTGAACCTTCTGCTCTTGGATGACTGCCACAATCTTTGTTGCTCATTACTGCAGAAGTTGAGGTGTCACTGCGCTCCCGCTCTTGCATATGAGAGGTCAGTACTAGAGAGCTGTATTGGGATTGAGTCCTGCCAGGTCCCGCGGGACCAAGCGCAAATCTAATGGGAGCGGGCGGTTTGAACTTTGCTACGGGCGGGAATGGGCACCTTAAAAAACAAACAAAAAAACTGCAGATCGTGAGGTAGCCTAGCAACATGATGGAGAATGTCAATAAATGATGTGGAAAAGAACCTCTAATGAGGTATTTACAGCACAAAACCTAAGTAAGGCAAGTCTGACATTTATGTGCGTGTTGTCTTTCTGTGTTCTCCGAGACTAGCTGCTTTCAGACATGTTTTTTCTGCACATTTACTCCAGGACTAATAAAGCCTATGACAGAATACTTTAATAGCTAAAATCAAAGTACTTGTAGTCTAAAGAAACGCACGGTAGCCTAAGCGTTTTAGATGTCCCCGATAGCCTAGCCAGGTCAGAATCAGTGTGTCAGAAAACATGCAATACATTTTTCCTCGGTACTGGCTGAACTGCAAGGCGATCTCGCTCAACACAAGCTGGTGATTTCCCGTGTCACCTCCAGCAGTGTCAACATGAGCCATGGCCTCCTTGACCCTGGCAACCGGCTAGGACCGTCCAGTAGTGCGTTTTTTTTTGGCCAGGGCTGCTGCCTCAGGTGATGGCATGAGCGTAGCTCACCAGAGGCTCCCTACGGAATGTGGGATTGAAATCCATGTTTTATAAGGCACAGAAAAACATGACACAGCACTGTTAAAACACAAATATACTAGTTGAATCCAACTGTTCAATTACTGCAGTGATAAGAGGAAGACATAAAAACGCACCGTCTTGTGTACCCGCCCACAGGCCAGTCAGTATGGATAAATTCGGAACCTCAAAATAGACAAATGGCAAGCTTTGCATCAAGACATTTCATCATTTTTATTAATTATTAGTTATTGATTTTGAAATTACTGTAATAAGTCATATTTTACATTGTATCAAGTGACAAAAACAGTGTTTAAGCGTGCAGTACGCAGCCTTAATGCTAGAGAGCAGCACCGCACAGTCTGGAATTTATTGAGTTTACATCTTTAACAGAACATAAATATTTAGTTTCCAAGCAAAACAAAAATGTTTTAAGTACATGTAATGATTGCATTTACCATCCTAATGTTTCCTCAGCAGATTTAATCAACCATATCTTAATCTGAGTTAATGATCATTCTGAATCTTTGTTCCCTTTAAACTTACTCAAACTACCAGCTTAGACACGAAACACTACACAAATCTATCAAATAGGTTTATATGGACTAAACGCTATAAATTAACTGAATTCACTTACTAGAGGTTGACTGATATGGTTTTTCGCACGCCGATACCGATCTTTTAAAATCCGGGTCGACTGATGGCCGATTAATGCTGCCGATTTATTTTGGCCAATATTTGCTTGGTTTTTAACCTCTATTTGAAAGATAAAATGTAAAAGAAATGATAATTACTTGACATACAAACTTTCTCAACAAAAACATTTTATCCTCTCAAAAAATATCCTGAAACATGTATTTTTGTTTTGTTTGTTGACGGACAAAGACAAATGGACATAACCTAATTATCACAAAAAAGGAGAAAAAAAACTTTAAATGATTTAATTTTTTATATGTAAGATTTATTATATTTTATTTAATTTAACTTCTAACAATAACGTATTTCACTAGTAAATTGCTATTGAACGACAAAAAACACCACCAGATGGGAAAATTATATTTTACAAAAACTTTAAATGCCCCACAACGCACCATCCGTCTGTTGTTCTTCAGACAACGGCATCCCGCTGTTGGACCTTTTATTCTACAGTGAAATACAGTCATACTTTACATTGTCCTTTAACTCTTTAAACCATGTTTAATCCAGCTACTAACTAACGGTCAATGTTGTGCCTGAACGCGTTCAATGAACGATAGTTCATGAACATGTTCATATTTAGGTCTGCTGCTCACTTGGCTGAAAAATGACTCTAGGTGCCCCACGACAACACTAGGCTGCCCACAGATGCGCCCGCCTAATAATCGGCTTGATATACTTCGATATTGGCCGATGCCGATTATGTTAAAAAATGCCCAAAATTGGCCGATTAATTGGTCTACCTCTACATGCATACGTTTTGTTTTCTCTGGCTTGGCTAACAAATTTGCATTGTTTTAGTAGGCTACCTTAAAACAGAGCGAATAAGAGTCATACACTAAAGTGTATTTTAAATTTCACGCACCACAAATCAAAACTCAACTAACGTTGTTACTATTTAAATGTCTTTACATAAACATTTCTTGCTTTATCAAGAAATGAGAGATATATATCTCGAAATTGTCTTCCATTGCGATTTCCCGTGTATCTAAATGTTTAGTGAAAGGTAAAACTTCCGAAATCTCAGTGTAAACAATGCGTGACATCACTTCCGGCATAACGTCTGGAGACAGGTTCGGTTCAGTTGGACATCTGATTCAGATCAGTTCGACGGCTGTTAACAAGAGGTAAAAACGATATAAATACTGTTCGTTTTCTCGCACAAACTGCTCATTTCGTGTGTTAGGCCATCAGTGTGTACTTAAATTCACAAGTCATTAAATCATGTTTAATTTGGACTTGTCTGTGCATGCTCTTTGAGGTGGACCCCCTAAACCTCCATTATATGACTGACAGACAAGAACGGTTTGACCGAAAAATGTCAAAATTGAAAATACCTTGGAAACAGACACCTACATCTTGGGTGCCCTTAAGGTAAGCTACGTAAAACATATCAAATTAATTTCAAAGTGAACTATCTCTTTAACCTGAAGCTGTCTTAACCGCAGCAAGGGGAGAAGAGGCTGCAGCTGCCTCCCGCCCAATATATTTAAGGGCTGCTTCCATAGGGTCCCCAGGATTTCTGGGTGTCTGCTTCCTCAGCCAATTGACATAACTGATAAAAAAAAAAATCCATTAGGAATTGGATTCATCAATTATCACAAAAATATTACTTACATCAGCATGACATTGTTACTCAAATGACTGTTCTCACCGAATGTTTTCTTTGTCCTTGGACTGATAGAGTTCCTGCAGTGTCTCTGCCCTGTACCTGTGAAATCCGACAAGGGCTTGGCACTCGACTCTGGAATCCACAAATGCCCTCCTGAACCTGACTTCCTCCTTAACGGGAGAATAGGCAATTTTGTAGCGGCCAAGGCGTCCTTGTGGACCATCAGTGGAGATGTCGAGTTGCTGCGCTCAGGCTCCTGCTGATGGCTAGCCCCCAGCCCCACAACCCAGTCCACATCATTTTCGAGAAGCCTCTTAAAGATCAGATCCCGGTACATGCCGAACTGAACCACATATCGGCTCAGAACCAGCATCGCGGAGTCAGTATCACCACTCTCTGTGACGACACGGGCCCGGGCTTCTGCCTAACGTTTTTCCAGCTTCTTGCAAACCACAGCCCCCTCAGGCTTGGCCCTGATGGACTGAGCCTCAAACGTGGCGTGCATGGTCAGCTCCTTTTCCCTCCATCTAAACCTTGGGTTTTCCATCTAGGATTCAGGTGATAAAGCATATACCGGATAATAGTAGAATTAACAATGCAGATTTTCCATTCATGAGAATTCATAAAATGTACAGGGAATCGAAAACCTCCTGTAAGATACAATACAATAATAACATTGCCAAAAAAGGAATCATAATGTAACCTGGCCCGTTCTTTGTACGTTGCTTAAAACATCAGAGATCAAACAAGACATCCAAGATAATATCATCATGCTCATCAGGATCCGGCTAATTGGGTTCTTCAAACACTCTTGCCTGTTATAATTAGTATAGCTGGATTGAGTAATCTGAGATTATTGCGCATTCGATAGTAGAAACATTGATCAGCAACGCTGCTATTGACTGCTCACCGGGGCCAAAGAGCGTGCTCTTTGCGTGAGGAGAAAAAAATGGGCTAACAATTAATATATTGAGCTGTTCATAAACTTGTTTGCCCACCTAAAACTTATAATTTGGTATTTCATTCTGATTTTCATCGACACCCAGTAAATTTGCTGGTTTTCTTTTTTTTTTTAACTATGCGTAATGCATGCAGAAGAGGCGGGAGACTAACAACTTATGTAATTCGGTATAAAATGTACAAAAAAATGACAAATTTATGTACATTTAAAACATAAGTTTTAATTAATAGTAAATTCACTTTTTTACAAAAAATATATAAAATGTATATAATATAAAATTTGTATATATAAAATATGTTGATGCATACAGAATTCTTCTGATGAGTGCTCGTTTGACCCTTCAGTCACTTTATGTCAGTTTTGTGATCAAAATATTAACTATGAAAAAAGAAAATTACATTTGTTTAAAATAATAAAAAGATAACTAAAAAGAAAAAAAATGCACTAATGCCACCGATTGCTGTAGATAATGTACATTTTTCCATGAATATTTATTTTGTGCATGGGGTTTTCAGTCAATTGTTTGTATTGGCTTTACTGTTGCAGAATGGAAAACACACCCAACCTGCGTGTGGAGGCTGGAGAGCTGGTGCTGATGCCTTCCAAGCAGGCAGCCACTGTGGAGAAAGTTCATCTTTCTCAAGTGGCTAAAGGGGTGCCCTTTGTCCCGAAGTACCCTGAGGCTGTGCTGGGGGAGGCCAAGGTCAGGGTCATCCAAGGTGGAGGTCATCCAAAGTGGAAGGGTGACCTGCTGGTGGCTAGTCAAAGTGCCATCCAGTTTGGTCAATATAGAGAGAATCCCTTCAAATGGATGCTAGAGAATGACCTTGGCTACTCCCTCATGGTCCTGTCTGGGCATCAGCGGGAGCGTGAGGCTGGCAGATTGGACAGAGGTGCCCTCATGGCTAAAAAGGATGCCTTTCTCCAATATGCCTGCACATTTGAGATGGTTGCAGAAGCCATCAAAGTGCGCAGGCAGATAAAGGGGACGTTACCTGGCTGTGAGGGTGACTGTCCGGAGGGCTTTGGGGTCCACAAGAAGAGCACCTACAAGGAGCTCTATGAGGCCAAGGACAGGGAGAGGAAAAGGTGATATGTGCTTTTGCTTGCTTTTTAATTGTATTTCTGTTCCCAGCCTGCCGTCCCTCATCCTTCGTGTGCAGCTTTTTCTCTTCCCACCCAAAGCTCCCATTCCCAGCCAGCCACAGCACACGGTGAGTTTTTAGATCTATAAGTGGTGTAAATCTATGGATGTTCAAATGGAATTATGAATAACAGCAATCTTTCTGCCCTCAGAGCCAACAGATGAAGACCTAATGGCTTCAGCCATGGAAGTGGATCCACAGGGTGAGTATCTTTTCTTTTCTTTTTTTACACACAAAACACTCACCTGATCATATGCGATCACTAATACATTTACTAACATCATATAGCATTATGTAACCACAAATGTCTTCAAATTACTAAACCATTAGTACTAATTACAAAATTAAAATGATGTGTTCTTCACAGTACTTCCACCACCTTCAACGCTGATCCGCTCACCTCGCTTAGAGCAAAGAGCCGCTCCAGTGTCACCTGGTGTCAGCGGCTTCTGAAATACAGTTTTTCACACCACAAGTTTGCACATATATATATATATATAGTATATATATACTGTATATACATATGAAGAGTTCAGATGCAAAAGCCTCTAAGTGCCATGTGAAATTTTCTTCTAGAATGATCATTTTTATCAAGCTTGTATATTTAAGTTCAGTGATTTCACTTAAATGGCAATGATAATTACCTATTAATTGTTATTTAAGTGAAATTACTGAACTTAAATATACAAGTTTGATAATCATCATTAAAGAAGAAAATTTCAAATGGCATTTAGAGGCTTTTGCATCTGAACTCTTCATATATATATATTATAATTTACTCATTTTGTTTTTATTCATATATAAAATAATTTTTTGTGTGTATAGGTTGTTCTCCCTGAGGCCTGGAAGCACTCCCTTCCAGAAGAACAGCATGAGTGGATCTCCCGCTCCCTCTTCCGGCGCCAGGGTGGAAGGGCAGCACTGATTGATAATCTGCAGATGTGGTGGTACCCTCCCCAGCCACGCCTACAGTATCATCTGCCTCCAGCGTCACCGGACGCGTTTTTCAGCTGGCTGCTGTGTTTGTGGATGCCCTACAGGATGTGGTCCTACAAGCTGATCTGCAGCTCGCCAGACTGCCGACGGTCTGGTCAGCGACTGACATCATGTGGGCTCTACAAGACAGTGAGGCGGGTGCTGAATTTACATGGATGGTATTTTCTGGCAACAGAATACCTGCAGTGTTAGTGCTGCCACAAGAAGCTGGCCGCGTTGTCGTACGACATCCTGGACCAGCTGGACCCGGCTTACCGCAGGATGTTCAGACTGTTAAATCATTCATATTAATAAGTTAATAGATGTTTTCTTCTGGAGTATATGGGTTGTACATTTTATTCTATTCTGAATTAATTCATTACAATTTAACTAAACCCATTATATTTTAGTCGACTAAATCTACTGTAGATTTAGTCAACTAAAATCATATTGAATTTCGTCGACTAAAACTAGAATAAACTAAACTAAAACAGTTCAGATGACAAAAATATCACTAAAACTAAATGGCATTTTAGTCAAGAGACTAAAACTAAACCAAAATTTTCTGTCAAAATTAACACTGCTTTGTCTGTGTGTTTTAACAGGTTCTCTTGTGATCTGCATGTGGCAAAGTTAATGAGGGAGTGGTGGACCTGGCCAGATACCTCGTCGAGCTGAGAGAAAAGCCTTGTGTTTTAGATAGGGAAGCCACTGACATTGTTCGGCTGTGGGACAGACTGCCGGTCAGTGACCACCCACTCCAAAACCTTCATCTGTCATGGAAGGGAGAGCTGAAGCGGTAAGTTAAATATTTGCACACAGAGCTTTAACCCTCTGGGGTCGGCTATTGCGCCAGCGCGACAAGTTCACTTTTTCATTATCAGTGCAAAAGTGACTCAAATTACTCTGTTGATTTTGATCTTGCATATAAGTGTTGTACATCATTAGATCCTGTTAAGTGTCTATTTTTTGTGGACACTCACAAAATAAAAACAAAGTGTTCTTCTTTTTGTCAAATAAAGAAAAATAAACATTCGTATTTTGCCTTCTCTCAGTCAGTGAAGTTCTTTCTGAAACACGTCATTAGTAAACGTTATTTTTACATGACGCATCCAAACTATATTGCGATCCTACTGAGATTTGTTCTAATTGCGATATAGAATAATGTCTAATTAAAACATTTCTTTGACTCGTTTTGGAAAGATTAAAAAGTTTTTACTCTAAAATAGAAATTTAACATTTGAGCAGAAACTGTCTAAGAAAAGCGTACATGATATGTAGTATGTTTAGTCAAAAATAAACTAATCAACTGTTATAGTGTTCGTTCCAATGCAAGCTATAATGAATCCTTAACTTTGAAATATTTATGATAAAATGTATTGGCCTAATAAAAAAAAATAAATAAATAAAAAAAACTTTACAAGACATTTATGGAAAGACTATTTTCTTAAAGATATTTTCAACTCTAACTTTGAACCAATTGTATAGAATGGCCCATATAGCTTATTTGAACAGGATTTTGTGTGTGTGCTTGGCCATCATCAAGTGGTATTTCAGATTGGACGTGCTATGATGATGATAGCTTAGTTCATAACGACAAAACACAAGTCACTTTAGTCTTGTCAATGGAACCATTTGGCAACATTTTATAAGTAAACTTTCCATTCAGAATCTTACTTGGATCCATTTCAGCATCTCGCGCTCGTCATCCACTCAAAACATATCGTTAACCTACTATTTGGCCGCCTCGCAAGCCCAAACAAGTGTGTGTGGCGTGCCTGTTTTGTTAAAAAAACAAAGTTTTCTAGTCCAAAAAATTGACGCCGTTAAAATGGGTTTGCGCTAACGCCGTTAATAACGCGTTTAACTGACTGCCCTAATATATACATTTATATATATTGCCCTCGCATTCTTTCTTGTGACACACCTGAATGAAAGGCTCATTATGCTGGTATTTGTCTTCTCAGGTGTGAACCACCTAACTATTCATGACGAGGTTTGGGATTTGGGCCGTTCACGCCCATCCGCATATTGCCTTTCCAAACCAATGATTTTCAGATCGTTTTGAATCAAAAACTCGACAACATGCGCATTGGGCAAAAGTATTGTGGACACATAATTAGTAGGTGTTTTGTGGCATTATTTCAGAAAACTTAATTTTTTTATTCTTTCAATAACCATACATAAACAATATTCTCTCAAATACAAACATGTACATACATGTTGCTCAAATATTATGGTAGCCCTGTTTGTGCTAAATAGTGTATTTTACCTGTGCCATTAATAGGTTTATAAGTAGCTGAAAAAAGCACAAATGTCAAAACATCTCAAGGACCCCAAAAACACCTTAGACCTCAGAGGGTTAATAATATAAATGACTAAATGTTTTTTTATGCTTAATAATTCCCTATTTTATTTTACAGGTGTGCTTGGGCAGGGGCCGGGTCCTGCGCAATGGCCTAATATTCGTAGAATTGTGGAAGCAGCGTTTCTGAAGCTTTGCCCCATTCATCGAGCAGGGAAGGTGAAGTGGGGTGTTTCATTGAACCGTTTGGCTGCCGTTCTACAAAACTACCAGGCCATACAGAGGCTGCTGGGGAACTGCCCAGCACTGATTCAGCTGTTTTAGGTCAATCACTGGACATTGTGAACTTAAAACATGAAGATCATCACAATATTTGCATTAATGTATTTTATCTTATTTATTTTTCTGTCACAGGATGAAGGACAGAGGGGGAAATCAGGAAAACCGCAAAAGTCCAAAGGGACAAACCTGTCCCCGCTGATCATGCCTGTGTCTGTCCCAGTCTCTGTCACAAACGTTTTAGGCCCCCAAGTTTCCACACATCAAGTAATGTCGTAGTCGATAACATAATAACAATTAACAGTGAATATCCAAAGTTGGCTTTTTTATCATAGTTTAAACTATAGATAGTTTAAAAGCCGATCATGCACTAACCACTACATATCTTCCATAGGCTGAGAGACCACAAACTCGTAAAGGTGCATCTAAGAGGTCTCGTTGTCCTGACCCTTTTAAAGCACCTGATCATCCCCAGTCCACCTCTGCCTCGCTCTTCTTCACCACAGTGGGTCCAGGATCAGGAAACCCAGGGTTTGCAGAGATGCCTTGGTTACCCCAGCCAGCTGCGCTCGCCAGCCTATCTTTCAGACCACCTGCTGAGCCCTGGGTTTCATCCCTACACCCCTCAGCCCATGCTGAGCCCTCTCCGTCCTGGGACAGGCCTCTACTCTAAAACCCTGCCGCAGTGTCAGCCATGCCCACCGCCACACAGCACCCTTGGTGAGCCCTAAACCTGTGATTTCAGCTCTTGTTCGATATATTAGATCCTTTTTTTTGTTCCAACTTCCAGACAAATAATTGTAACTTTGAAACCCTACAGATGGCGTCCCCTTCCCAACTGACAACACAGTCATCAACATAAAGCCGTGAGTCACTCTATATCTGCATTAAAGAAGACCTATAATGCTTTTTTTTTTTTTTACATTTTCAACTTAATGTTGCTGTTTGAGCATGAAACCTGTCTGCAAAGTTACAAAGCACAAAGTCACTCCAAAGAGAGTTATTCTCTTTAAGGAGCTCCTTATAAATTATAGGGTTCCTTCTCCCCACAAGAATGGTAGTATGGGTTTATTTAAGGGAGAAGACCTGCTGCAGAGCAGAAAATAACAGACAGACTTCAGCAAATATCCTTTAAATGCTTTAATCGCGACCGGGAGAGTACCCAACATTTTTTAGAGAATCTCCCCCAATAGGCACATGCCTGGAGGATCTCAGATAAATTTCATAGAGAATCCCACCAGTAAACACAAATACAGCAGTTTTTTGAATGCGTGTTCGGTGTTCAATCAAAGTTATTCTTTTTTTCGCTCGTTATTAAACCAAATGATATTACAACACAATAGATTGACACAAATTATCGACACTTTTCTTTTTTACATTAAAACTAAACCAACGAAAGTACAAATCAACAGAAAAAAAAATTATTAAAAAATGTATATAAAACATTATAGTGATAAGTAGATAATATACAGTACATACATATGTATACACATACATACACACACACACACACACACACCTATATACACATTATACATACATACAAGCTATGTGTATATGTGTGTGCGTACACACATTTAATCATGTTTTAACCTGGAGGTAGGGTTTTAAGAGAATTAAAGTAAGCTATAAAAGGATGCCATTTACTGAAGAAGTTGTTTTTCCGAGAACTTCTTTCTTTTTCCAGTTTCAGAAAAAACATGATATCCACTAACCATTGGGAGGTTGCTAGAGGCTTATTAGATTTCCAGTGGAGCAAAATACGGCGCCTAGCTAACAAGGAGGTAAAAGATAAAACATCCAGTTGTTTGTAATTAAACTGAGACCTGATTTTTGGTACACCAAAGATTGCTATGGTGGGGCAAACATCAGTTCTAATTTTTTGCACTTTAGGCATAGTTGTAAAATAACTGACCCAATAATTTTGCAGCATAGGACATGTAAAAAACATATGACTCAAATTGCACGAAGGCACATGACATCTGTCACATCTGTCTTCAACATTGGGAAATATTTCAAATAGCCTGGCCTTAGAAAAATGAATTCTGTATAGTACTTTAAATTGTATGAGGCCAAGAGTTATTCCTCAGGTTACAAGTAAAGGAAACGTATATGGTATAATATAAAAACTTTTTTATTCACTTCTCTTTGCACAAAGCAATCATGAATATTAGACACAGAGAATAACGTCAGAGTTAGAAATAACTAAAGATTTCCTCCTTACTCCGTTTCATTCGGATATTGTTGTGGCTGGTCTGACTGTGTATTTCTGGATCGCAGTGCTGAAGCAGAAAAGGCGTAAAGAAAGGGGTTCACGCAACTGTTTATAAAGAAAAGAGCGCCAGTTATATTGTGGCTAGCATTTGAATCCCATGAGACTACCATTAAAACAAAGTTGTTGATGGAACAGGGGATGCCGAATATGAAGAAGGCCACTACGATTCTGACGGCCAGTTTTGTCAGCCTGTGGCTGTTGAAGAAAGCTGAATGACTTATCCATGGTGAAGTCGAAGGTAGAAGCCCAACAGGCTGAAGAAAGGCACAATAAACATCACTAGAGTCTCAACAAATAAGACAACTATTTTTTCTTGTGTATTGCTGTAATCCGGATAACACTCTAGAAACCCGTCCTCCATCTGCTTGATGCTTCGGAAATAAAGAGCGTAAGAACCCAACGCTCCACTTGATGTCCATATCCCAAGAATCAGCCCGTTTTGACCCTTCCTTCCAAGCTTTGCCCATCGCTGAGGATACAGCACCTGCAGGTACCTTTGCACACTCAATAAGGTGACAGAATGTACACTACAGTAGAGGCTCCAGTACACTAGATAGGAAAATATCTTGCATAGAGCTATGCCAAAAACCCAGCCGTTCAAAAGGGCATAGATCCACACAGGCAGAGAAATCAGACTCAGTAGATCAGAGACGGCCAGATTCAGCATCAATTTCGGGGTAAAGCTGTTCTCCTTTAAATGTTGAGCGAGGATGACCATCACCGCTAGATTACCTGGTACACCCAGTGCACAGCACAATCCCAGAACACTGATGGATATTAGTGTTTCCACTGAGGTAGGGACAAACAGAGAGCCATTCGAAATGTTCTGGTACTCCATATTCACCTGCCAATTGCTGATGTGAATATACAATTTGAGGTTTGCCAGTCTTAGGTTGGGATGCAGTCTCAATTGTGAAGAGGTGTGAAGATTCTGAATGTGAATAAACAGGCATGCAAATGTTTGGGGAATAACATTGAGCAGTTTAATAACGTATGTAAATCAAACTGCACAGTCATGAATGAGCTGTTTGTTGTGCATTAGCGATGCTAGTTTTAAATACACACTCATTTTCCATGGTGGACCTTCAATAGTGTGTTTAGACCGTATCTGTCATCATGGTAAAAATAGTAATAGCAAGGTGAGCTGGTAGAACTGGAACTGAAAGATCTGCCTGAGCTATTTTCTGAGAGAACAAAGGACCTTTCTTCAAATTAACATTCCCCATCCGAGATGCAATCACTCTGATACAGTCACCTCGGTATTGTATTATTTTTACATTTCTTTCTCTTCACTCCCTCTTTCCCCCATATCTTCTCTCACATGCTGAGATCCCCTGAAATTCACCCAAAAATCGATATCGTTTAATGTGAAAAACTATCATACAACACTATACATACTATACATGATATCATTGTATTGTCCTTATCATTCTTATCATACATACATACATATATATGCGTGTATATATATATATATATATATATACACACACACACACACACACACACATCACCCCTGATATATATATATATATATATATATATATATATATATATATGAAGAGTTCAGATGCAAAAGCCTCTAAGTGCCATTTGAAATTTTCTTCTAGAATGATCATTTTTATCAAGCTTGTATATTTAAGTTCAGTGATTTCACTTAAATGGCAATGATAATTACCTGTTAATTGTTATTTAAGTGAAATTACTGAACTTAAATATACAAGTTTGATAAAAATCATCATTAAAGAAGAAAATTTCAAATGGCATTTAGAGGCTTTTGCATCTGAACTCTTCATATATATATATACACATACATAATTTCTTCATATATACCCTGTATAAAGCTGTTTTTTTGTTGTTTTTGCTAATAGCCTATCATCTTAACACATATTGTTTGTCTTGTGGCAATGCTATTGAAACAGTATTTTAACATTAATGTATTTGGGTACAGTAGGTTATAACAACAGCACTCTTTGATTCATTGATTCACATACTTCAGGGTTAAATGATAGATTTCAGAGTGTTGAGCAACTATATTTTGTAACAGATAAATTTAGGGAAATTATATAAAAGTATGTTGAACTGTTGAGAGAACAGTTTTTATAATTTATATCTGTCCACAATCTTTTAATGGTAGAATAGTAAACAGAAAGACATACAAATTGGCTGTATAGAATTAGTTCCATTCAGTGAATACTTAACTAAGGATGATGATCTAGTTTATAATGTATATATGATTCACTGGTTTACTCAGACCTCTCCCTTATAATTGTAACATAAGAAGACCAAACCAGAGGGGAAGCACTAGTGCTGAACAGGCGTGGAAAATGGTTGATGATGATGCTGTTTCTGACTGCAGAGGAGGACATTTGTCTTCTTCCAGCACTGGGACACTGAAGACAATAAAACCTATATATGTAATATTCAAAAGGAAAGACAAATGACTGAACTTTTAATTTGTGCATTTTGAAGGAAGAAGTAAACTACAATTGCTGTTGCATAAAGAAAATCTTAACTGGTCGTAAACAGGTAAGATCTTCAGATATGGCTTAGCATTATTAGTTAATCTTTTTTTCTTCTTAAATGTTTAATATGAATATGAACTGATATGTTAATTAACTTAAGTTGTAACCAGTGCTGGAGGTAGTAATGCAAGTTACCTAATCAGATTACTTGTACTAAAGTAACATTACTTTTACATTTACAACAAATCTTGGATTTTCAAGTAATTCATGTTAATTTGATTTCCTTTTTTTTCTTCTTCATTTCCCCAAGCCCAGCCCAGGTGAGAAATGGTAATGCAAAAGTATCCCATTATTTTCCATTAAAAGTTACTAAGTAATGCAAGTTTTTTTTTTGTTTTGTTTTTTAACTTTTAAAGTAACTTCCCCCAACACTGGTTGTAACCAAAAAATGAAAAAACTTTTTAAATGAAATTAGATCAGTTGACTGCAATTGAAATTCAAACCTAAAACAAGATGTACTTGCCATTAGTGTGTTAAGCACTGCAATTATTGCTTTTTATAAAAGCTTACATGACAGTATTTTTTGTACTGAAGTTGTTTTATGCATTACAAAATCCAACACTAAAACAGTATGTATGTTCATATCTCAGTTATGAAGGAAATAATCTTCCCAGTTTCCCCCCATGTTTATGAGCTCTGCGGCTGAGCTCCAGACAGATGCCATGACACTATCATTTCTGTATGCTTTATATGTCTCACTCCACCCTTGGACCTTCACTTTTTTCCCATCAGGCAAAATCTGAGAGAGTCCCGAGAAAGGGTGGGCTACTCCCCTCTGTTCTGCAGATGTGTCTGGGGTAAGAGCACATCTGTTAGCTCTACAGCACCCTCAAAGTGAGTCCATCTACACTTATTGTTAAATGTCATCACTGGGAGCATGCGGTGTAAGTTGTTAAATGCACTTGACAGTGTATATGCCATAGTCAATTAATAGTTAAACAATGCATTAAGTATGTGCAGATGAATTTGGGGTAGCAGTATGAAACCACCATAAAACTATGAAGTCATTCTTATACTATTATACAATGTCAGAAAAAAAGCAAAATCAAAACAGGGGTAATACTTTCTAGTCCCTTATAAAAGTCTGGCTGCAGAATTTTGGACCAGCTGGAGGCGAGATAAACAAGATTGAGCAATCCCTAAATATGAATTGCAGTAGTCCTGTCTTGTTGAAATAAATAACTGCATGAATAATGGTTTCCAGAGAAAAAAACCTTTTTCAAAAATCATTTTGTGCAATGGAAAGGTTCAATGGATGTTAAAGGTTCTTCATAAAACCATAGATGCCAATGAAGGACATTTATTTGTAAGAGTGCAAGATAATACTGTGAGGTGTAAATAAGGTACAAAGATATCAACATAGCAGCACACTCAAAGAGGACACGCTGTTGAACCCCTAAAGGCATCATTTTACTTTGGTTTTAGAACTTCCGACATTTAAAGGGTTAGTTCGGTGTTTTACACTTAAAGCCCTGTTTTAAGATAATTAGAAACTCTCGGGACAGCAGCATCTGTCCAAATTTCAATCTTAACCATTCCATTTCATCAGAAACGATCTTAAAACCGGGCTTTAAGTGTAAAATACCGAACTAACCCTTTAAATGTCTTGTGTTGTTCAACCACTTTGTTTATAATCTGGGGGTTTCTTCCTCCTGACATGGCAAGAGAAAGTATAAATGTTCTTGATTAGCTGTCAACATTGTCTCTCTCTGCACTTTTTAAATAAATGTTAGAAAATGCTATCCATCACATTCCTGACATAAATTAGATATTTAATTGGTTTTGTAAAGAGGGTTCCAAAGAATTAAATCAATCTCTCTCTCTCTAATTCAATTCAAATCTACTTAATTTGCATGACACTTAGTTTTATGTATTGCCAAAGCCTTTCCAGTCATCATACATATACGTACATTAAATACATAAATAAATTAAATAAAAAGGTAAGTAGATCAAATAATCAACATTCCAGAATTCTATGAACAATTTATAATTCAGTGAGTGTGTGTATGTGAGCGCATTACTGATTAGTCAACTCCTGCCTCTTTTTGTGACAGGCATCAATATATATTGCTGCTAGTAGGATCTCTTTTTTCACCTAATAAATGTTGAAGTTGAGTTTTATTGTTTAATTTTGTGTTGTGAAATTCTCTCTCTCTCACCATTAAAACCATCATATATTCATTCATTTGTATTATGTATGTGTTCAGGAAAACTCTGAAGCTCTCAGACTGTTGCACCCCAATGGCTGGTAAAGAAATGAAGAACAGGGGTAGTAAATGTCTGAAGGAAGTTCACACAGTTACTGAGGCTTTAAAGGCCCTCTACCGGCAAAAATTGCTCCCTCTGGAGAAGTATTATGGCTTCTCCGATTTCCACTCATCAAGCCTTGAAGATGCAGACTTTGACAACAAGCCCATGATACTAGTGTTGGGTCAGTGCTCTACAGGCAAGACCACTTTTATCAGGTGAATAATGATCATGATCTATTTTATTTGTTTATTTTTACTGAGTAAAGAGATTTTTACTGAGATTAATATGCAATTACTTTCCACAAAGTCAGAATGTCCCGCACCATTGGCAGCAGTGTTGATTTTAGGTCAGGCGCACTAAACGATCCCAGAAAACTTGAACAAAGTCATGTGACCCACATTCTTAACAGGTGCAATTATGATAAATGAAAAAAGTACTGGATGAGAAACTCTTTCCCACGCCTCCTACAAGAGACTGAAGAGTTGTAGAGCTCATTGCTTTAAAGGATTATATGACCACACTTTAGATAAGGCACAATTCTTACTATTAACTAACTATTAACTTGTTTTGTCTCAATAAACTCTTCATTGCTGCTTTTAAAACTGCTTTTAAGTTAGTTAAGTTTAGGAATGCCCATATCATAATATGCATGCTGATAAGCAACTAGTTAATAAGTGTTATCAATTATATTTTATTATTATTGTCTAGTTTAAGCAGTGTGTTCTTATGTGTGGCAGATATCTTCTTGAACAAGAGTATCCAGGAAGCAGAGTAGGCCCAGAACCAACAACCAACAATTTCACTGCTATAATGCATGGAGAGATTGAGGGAATTATTCATGGGAATGCTTTAACTGTGGATGCCAATAAGCCTTTCCGTAAACTCAGCCCATTTGGAACCAGTTTCCTCAATCGGTAAGTGAGACAGAAGCAATGATGCAATACGAAGAAATAATAATCACAGGGGGAAAACTCTGTTGAACTTGGACAGAAAGAGTCCAAATCCCTCCACCAGCAGAGATTACTCTTGTGAAAGGGTGGACATAGCCTGGAGAAGAAAACATTAATGGATCATTATTTTGGCTTAAGATGACTGTATCCCTTTGAGGAAGCATCTGGATGTTTTTTTCTCATGCTCTGAAGATACTGAATTAGCATAAGACAGCTGGAATGAAGTAATGTTCATCTGCTGTTTTTCAGATTCCAGTGTGTACATCTACCCAACCGAGTCCTAGAGAGTGTCAGCATCATTGACACACCAGGGATCCTGTCTGTGGCCAAACGCAAAATGAATAGAGGTATGAAGTGTCATAAACAGTGCTGTATGCAACCAATGAAGGGATGAAACAACTTGCATGCAAATCACAATATTCACCCAAGGCCTGCCTTTATGCTCCATATACAAGTAAAGAGCTGTATAAGATACTCCATATACAAGTGAGGATGCCTGCCCTTATACTCCATAAACAAGTATGTGACAATATAGGGCGAATTATAGGGCTTTTTTGTACCCTTGAATGGCACTTCGGGAAGGGGACGCTGTTACAAATGGAATTTAACAACTGAATCCCTTCACTAAGGGCCCTTCTAAGGCCCCGTCCACACTACTGCGTTTTCGTTTAAAAACGGAGACCTTTTGCTACGTTTGCACCTCCCGTCCACACTAAAACGGGAAAAACGAAGACCTAAAACGGAGAAGTTTAGAAACGCTGCAGCTGCGTTTTGCGTTTTGAATCTCCGGAGGGCGTTTTAGTGTGGACGAGACAAAACGGAGGAGTTTACAAACGATGACGCAGAGGCTCACGCTCGGCTCTATGATTGGGTGTCATCAGTCATGACGTATCTTTCCCTGATTCGCCAACCACTGTTTACACCGGCGCGCGCATGCCCAGTGTTGGTGAATGGTCACGTGATCCACGTTTTCAGTCGTTTTAGTGTGGACGGAGATAAATTCTAATACGCAGGTAAAACGCTAGTGTGGACGGAGATCGTTTTCGTTTTAATTCTCCGTTTTTAAACGAAAACGCAGTAGTGTGGACGGGGCCTAAGTCTGTTAGTGAAGGGTGCATGTGATCACTTTAAGGAAGTAATTTGATCCTTTATGGTCATGTGACTGAGGGTGATACACAGAGGAAAGTAACTACTTGCAGGATCCAAAGAAGAGACAGCAAGTTTAACAAGTTGAGGGAACACACTGGATTTTTGTTGTTATAAAACATAATACCATGTTTTATTGGGGACGTTCCATAGGTGTAATGATTATAATACTGTACAAATGGTATGTTCTGTCTTCCTACACAAACCCAACCCCTAACCCTTACCATAACAGATTTTTTTGTTGCATTTTTAGATAAAAGATAATTCTGTATGATTTATAAGCTTGTTTCCTCATGAGGACCAAAAAAAGGTTTTAAAAAAAAATACTGGTATTACTTTACTTGACATTTGTTCCTTATAATATAGGAAATACCAAGACCACACACACACAAATAAATAATGCATTTAAAAAAAACCAAATACATTCCAGGTGAAGATAATGAGACAATTACATAGTCTTTCATTGCTCCTTTTGCCAAGTGCATTCCAAACGGGTACATTAGAGATACAAGTGCCCTTCTCCCTCTAAAGTCCTCACTTCAAGAACTCTGACGTTCAGAGTGACTAGGGTGGGGTTGGCTCCCTCGAGATCCACTTTCCTGCAGAGTTTAGCTCTAACCCTGATCAAACACACCTTCAGCTTTCTAGTAAGACCTGAAGACCTTGATTAGTTTGTTCAGGTATGTTTGATTACAATTTGGACATTGAGGGCCAAAGTAGGACATAGAGACTCTCACATCCAATTGAAATTTGCTGATCAAAATTTGAATGTCTGATTAAACACCTGTGCATTATATTACCTCAACGTCTCTTTCTACTTTCAGGGTATGACTTTCCGGCAGTTATCCGCTGGTTTGCAGAGCACGTTGACCGCATCATCCTCTTGTGTGATGCACACAAACTAGAGATCTCTGATGAGTTCTCATGCTCTATAATGGCGTTGCGAGGCAATGAGGACAAGCTCAGAGTGGTGCTCAACAAGGCCGACATGGTGGACTCCCAGGAGCTGATGCGAGTCTACGGCGCCCTCATGTGGTCCCTCGGGAAGGTGTTCTGCACTCCTGAGGTTCTTAGAGTCTACATTGGCTCCTTCTGGTCCTCTCCAATGCGTGTGACAGACAATCGGAAACTGTTTGAGCAAGAGGAGGAAGACCTTTTTGCAGACATTCGGAACCTGCCACGAAATTCTGCACTGAGGAAACTCAACGATCTGGTGAAACGAGCACGGCTTGCGAGGGTGAGGACCTTTGTGCTTTCCACGACGGATTTGATTGAACTTCAGTAACTTTTAATCCAAGTCTGTTAGCTTTGAGGCCATCTATGTTCGAGGATTGAGAAGAGTTGACAAAATTGTCAATGAGCAGATACACAGGCTTATGCATTTAAGACTTTCTCTTCTAAGAAAAAAATTCAAAAACATTTGTTACATCATTTTGACTTGCTGTGATGTAAACCCTTTCTTAATAGGACAGACCTTTCAACATGTAGAACTTCCTGTTATTTGGAAATACAGCAACAGTAGGGCTGATCTCCTCTCGTTTTCAATCTAGCCTGAGGAACATTTAACAGTCTCTGGTTGGATGACCTAAGAGACCTTCCTGTATTGTGAATGGATAATAAATCAGTAATGTATACAGGAGCCAATCCATTCAAAGGTTTAAAACCAGCATCAAGACTTTAAAATCAATTCTGTAATGGATTAGAGATTTCAGAACTGGAGTAACGTGCTCTCGTTTACGCACACCAGTAAGGAGCCTAGCAGCTGCATACTTTGCCATCTGCAGATGGTTAAGAGATGCTTGGCTAATGCCCAAATAAAGAGAATTACAACAGTCAAGCTTTGTTGAAATAAAAGCATGAATCACCCTTTCAAAGTCTTTAAAAGAAAGAAATGATTTAACTTTAGCTAGGACTTTAGCACTGGTTTTGACTAACAAATCTGTTTGTCAAATTCGAGAGCACTATCGAAAAACACGCCCAAAATCACAAATGGTTTCACACATGGAGACAAAAGGCCAAAATCTAAGCAAACTGTTGAAACATGTCAGTGCATTTCAATGTAAGGACACCCACCAAGTATGTAGATAGAAATGGCTCATTCTGAGGTAATAAAAACATAATGGTTCATTAAGTAAGATCTTTATACACCACTGAAAACATATAGTTATGTATATGATGTTACATTTCAACAGATCCTTCTAAATATTACACAATGCACCTTGAAGAACTAGATTAAACCGCTCAATTTATGGATTGTTTTTACAATGTCTTTATGAACTTTTTGAAGCATCAAAGTTTTGGTGAAATGCTTGCTCAATGGAGGGACAGAAATCTCCGTTTTCATTAAAAACATCTTCATTTTTGATTTAAAGATGAATGAAAGTCTCATAGGCTTAGAACTATATAGGGGAAGTAATTGATGAAAGAATTACACATTTTGCTGCATCTCTACTACAAAAAATCTGACACTGTTTTTTGTGTGTCATCTGTTTTGAATGAGATGAGAAAACATGGGATTTGTGAAAGGTGTCTTTTTGAGAAAACAAAACACAATTTTTGACTAATGATTTAGTTGCTATGATTGAAATACATCTACCTGCTTGTTTTGTTGATGTAGTCATAGTGAAACATTAATGTGGCTTCGCTTTCCTTTCTTCACCCACAGGCCCATGCTTACATCATTGGCTCTCTAAAAGAAGAGATGCCTTTCGTTTTCTGCGGAGGAAAAAAGAAGAGAGATCTAATCTATGACCTTCCCGTCATCTACTCAAGAATCCAACAGAGGCATCAGATTCCACGTGGAGATTTTCCAGATTGCGCCAAGATGCAGGTGTATAATAGTTCAAATACTTTTATAATCAAGCATGCCCATTATGAAATGTATTTTCTGCTGCTTCTATAAGCAGAAGCTTTAAAAGTAAGTTAAACTATCTGTCTGACAAGCAGTTTCACTCTCGCATCATCACACAGGAGCAACTCATGAGTCACAACTTCAAGTTTAAAGGCCTCAAGCCTAAGCTCTTAGGTGGGTTGGATGAGCTCCTAAACACTGACATTGCCAAGCTGATGCCTCTTCTACGCCAAGAAGAAAAGGCAGCTGAGCAGCTCTTAATGCAAGGAGGACTTTTTCTAGGGTCTCACATGGACCCTTTTATTGCGGGAAACCCATTTCATCACTCTGGATCCAATGGAGAAAGTGCTCTGGTGTCAGATGAAGAATGGGTGGTATCAAAAGATAAACAAGAGTACGATGAGATCTTTTACAACCTCTCGCCTCACGAGGGCAAGCTGAGTGGGACCAAAGTGAAGAACTGGATGATGAGCACTCATCTACCCAGCTCAGTTCTGGGACGAATCTGGAAGCTGGCAGATGTGGACGGTGATGGCATGTTAGACGACGAGGAGTTTGCTTTGGCCGGCCATCTCATTGAGGTGAAGTTAGAGGGCTTTGGTCTCCCTCGTGAGCTACCTGCACATCTAGTGCCGCCCTCCAAAAGACCACGCAAGATCTCTGCCACAGAGAATAGAGACAATGAGTAGTCTGCAAGTCTTTATAAGGACCTATTAAGGGAGTTATTCTCTATAGACCATTTTGCAAGATGTAAACAACACTGGTCCAGAAGCACTTCCTGTTTTAGTTTAACACTACATAAAAGCTGGGATAAAATACAACCAACAGAACATGTAAAACTGAATCAAAAAGTTAAACAACATCTTTAAGATGTTTTCTTTACATGTGAAATAAAGAAAACGGTTACAAACTGAAAAAGAAAGCGTTTCTGGACCAGTGTTGTTGACATCTAGCAAAATGGTCTATCACTTTCTGAACTCCCTGAAACGCCTCGATTGTAATCTTTAAGTTTTTTCTGCAAATGAAACCGTCATAATATTCATCATTTAAATAATTCCAGTCCAAGGCTTATGCAAAGTAAAAAAAAAAAACTGGTCCAGCCGACCAATTAGATTGCATTTGGAAAGAGGGGCTTCATAGAGACAGGAACTAAACAGACTTGCAGCAACAATGCCAAATATATCAAAAAAGAATGTGTTTTTTGAACATTCAAGCATGAAAACCTATTATAGTAGAACACAATCAACATTTTGTAAAAGGGCATATTATGCCCTCAATGTTTATGATGATAGGGTTTATTCAACATGCAAGTCATGAATAATACTAATGTATTCACTCATATAATGCCTAAAATCACTAATATTTGCAACGGTTGGATGAATAAATCCTCCATATGATATAATCTCAGTTAAGACGAGTTGTTTTGATGGTTCAGATTGCCCAACAGCTCGTTCTGTTGTCTTGGCTGGTTGTCTTGGCAGAAACGCCCTCGAGACTGTTGCTGAGGAACATGTCAAAACAGAGCCTGAGGTGTCTTATTACATTTCAAATTATAGTTGTCAAGTAACATTTATTTAAAAAAACAACTACTACTACGACTGTTGGTCAATAAGTAACTGCAGCAATTTTTTTTTGAATTTGTGCATACTTAGCACTTTTGCACCTTTGCACTACCAACTACTACAGAGATTATGGGTCTGATAGGTAAATCTAAATCTTCGACCTGTCAGTTAGACCCTCTTCCAACTCCTTTAGTGAAAGCTTGTTTACCAGCCCTTTTGCCATTGATCATTAAAATTGTTCACGCTTCACTTGGTTCTGGTTTTGTATCTCCATCTCTTAAATCTGCTATTATTACACCCATACTCAAGAAACCAGGGTGTGATCCTTTTAATTTTGACAATTTTCGTCCGATTTCAAATTTACCATTTATCTCTAAGGTAGTGGAAAAGTGTGTTGCAATTCAAATTCATGAACATCTCTCCAATAATAACTTATATGAACAATTTCAATCTGGATTTCGTCCACACCACAGCACTGAGACTGCACTTGTAAGAATAACTAATGATCTACTGTTGGCAGCTGACTCTGGGCTCTTAACCATTCTTGTCCTTCTAGACTTGAGCGCTGCCTTTGATACTGTTTCACACCAGATACTTCTTGACAGGTTAGCTTCCATTGGTATTACTGGCACTGCTTTGTCTTGGTTTAGGTCATATCTCTCTGGACGCAGTCAGCGTATTCAATTAAAAGGTTTTAGTTCTAGAATATCGACAGTTACTACTGGTGTTCCCCAGGGTTCTGTTTTGGGCCCGCTTCTTTTCATTATCTATATGCTCCCTCTTGGTGATTTTAAGGAAATATGGTATTCATTTTCACTGCTATGCGGATGACACCCAACTTTACCTGTCTGCTAAACCCACTGGTTCTTTTCCTCCGCCATCCCTGTCAAGCTGTTTAGCAGAAATTAAAGTTTGGCTTTCGGCAAACTTCCTAAAGTTAAATGGCAATAAAACTGAGGCTCTGCTTGTTGGCACTAAATCTGTTTTATCAAAATCTTATTGTTTTTCTCTATCCATTGACAATAATTCAATCTGTCCTTCCTCTCAGGTTAAAAGTTTGGGTGTCATCATGGATGGCACATTATCCTTTCAAGCACAAATTAATAATATCACACGAATTGCATATTTTCATTTACGCAATATTAACCGTCTCCGTCCCTTTCTCTCAAATCGTAATATTGCAGTCCTTATCCATGCACTAGTCACTTCACGTATAGACTACTGCAATGCTCTTCTCACAGGTATTCCTTCCAAATTGCTGCATAAGCTTCAGTTGGTGCAGAACTCTGCAGCTCGTGTTCTATCTAAAACACCCTATACTGAACACATTTCTCCAGTTCTTCAGCAGTTGCACTGGCTACCAGTAAAATATAGAGTTGAATTTAAAATATTGCTACTGACTTATAAGGCACTTCATAATCTTGGACCACAATACCTTACTCAACTTCTCCATGTTTACACCCCTTCACGTGCACTAAGATCTTCTTCTTCAATATCTCTTTTGGTACCTCGGATTCGACTTACGACCATGGGTGCAAGATCTTTTAGTTATGCTGCCCCCCGCCTATGGAACTCTCTTCCTCTTGATATTCGCAATAGTGAGTGTCTGCTGACTTTTAAAAAGCGCCTTAAGACATATCTTTTTATACAGGCTTTTTTATAACATGTTTTAGAGTTATTTAACTGTACTTTAAATGTATGCTGTTTGATTATTGTGTGTTTTGATTTGTGTAGTGACCTGTAATATTTCTTGTGAGGTGACCTTGGTGTTCTGAAAGGCGCCATG